TAGAAAGCTGCAAGACTCGTATATCATATCTGTGCATGGGTTTCTAAGTTTAAGTTCTTCTAACTGCTGTCTGGAACCAGTAAAATAATAATAAATAAAATAAAATAATCTATCCAAACCAAATTTTAAAAGTATTTTCAAAAGAATATGAAACTTACGAAGTTTCAGTGCTGCAAAGGAAAAGTGGCATCAGCTGGAAAGTCTCATTATCATAATGTTTTATAATTATAATTTTTGTTTAATAAAAGATATTAATTTAGAATTGGATTCCAAAGCAAATAAGGGGCAAGTGAACATGACTGAAGATGATGTAGTTCTACTTTACCTATGCAATGGAAATATTATTAAGCAAATACATGTATAAAATGAAAATACGGTGGATTAAAAGGACAGAAACACCACCAGCCTTTTTAAAAATCCCAGATGTCCTCCATAGTTTATCTTTTAAATTGTACAAAAATACACAAGCAAGAAGAAAATTAAGCTCCAGAGGAAAAAGACGAGTCAGACAGATAAATACCAAGGATGGACTCTTAATTTCTTGGCATGTGGAGAACAATGCACTCTTTAAAAAGGATTCATGCAGAAACAATAGAGCTGAAAACACAGCACTCAGCGAATGCAGACTTCTTGAATACTAAAAGATGTTTAAATAAGAATATATTGAGAAGAGATGGAGGAGGCACAAGGGAAAAATATCACAGTAGTTGGGCAGGAAATGATTTCAAAATATATGCAGAAGGGCTACAGTAGCTGACCCACTTTATTGGAGGAGAATAAAAAACCTTCTTATAGAAGAAATACAGGCCTTTCTATGCTGTCAATGAAACTGCAAATGAAATAAATACAGTAGGAATAAGATGCTCAGTGCAACTCATTGTTTAAAAGACCAATATGGTAATTATTCTTGAAGGATAAGAGAACTGAAACAAAGCATACATTTTCTTCGTTGATCTTCAAAATACAGTTTGCTTTTTAATTATTCTCATCTATGTTTACAAAGAAGCAGATTTAGCTGGGGAAAAAAACAAAAGCAGACTTGCAATCAGACATAGAAACAGCAAAAACTTCTGCCAATTAATTAAATTCTGCTCTTAGTAGCTCGTCCTAGATGTGTTTTGGGCACAAGTACATCCTCAGCTATATGGTAATTCGGAAATAACACGGTAAATATTTACAATATTGTAAGCTACAAAGAATAAACTAGAAGCACTCCAAATGCTCAGTGCAATGGAAGTGCAGCTGCTGCTGAAACTCCAGCCTAAGTGTTTTCTGAGTTTGTGATTCATGTGACCTGAATACTGCATTAACTAGAGTTCTTCTTACGATTACTTTCCAATGTCGTTGAAAAGAAAGTGGCAGGGCTTTAAAATGTGCACAGTGAAATTGCACAGGGTCTTTACAGCTCAATATTCCCCCATAAGAAAGAGCTGGGGAAGGAATGAATTCTCACCTCTGTTTCTGATATTGTTTATCTGGAGGTAAGTACTAAATAAACAGGATGATAGCTGATCTGATACATAATATAATCTTCTCACCTTCTGAGGCTGTACTAAGGATTTTACCAAATCTTATCAAAGCTCCTGTTTATGGAAGAAACTAATAACTTGAAGAATAGGAGAAGAAAATCTCCATACAGCTTTCTTTTTGGAAGTGTCATTCTAAAGAAGGGATCTGCAGAGCGTCCTTTCCCTTTGCTGCAGGGAGCCCCAGCCCAGGCTAGTATCGGTCAGGTTATTATCTTCTGTTCATCCTTCCCTAAGAAGGGAAGAAGATTAAAGGACTGACACCTTCCTAAGAATGAAGATCTGTAAAAGCAGTGTTATAGTCGTGGCTCAACTAAATCCAACCAAAAAGAGATTTGATTTTCACGCCTTCAAAGCCATACATGGTGAACATAACAAAATCTGCACGCAGTGGAGATGGAGCCACAGCATACCTCAGTAGCCTGGAGATCATTTAACCCACCACTCTTTTACTCAAAACAGGATCAATTAACCACATCTGTGTCATATGGGATGGGACAAAAGCTTGTCTAACCTGTCTTACCTATATCAGCTGCTTATCAGGTACGTTCAGAACAAGAAGCCCTAAACTACTTTTCAGTTAAGTTTTACTTCTCATGTGATGAACCTCACACTTTCCACAAGTCCTCTACATACTAATTGACTTGAAGGCACTAAAAAGTTCCAGTTTACAAAGCACAGTTCTTCACTGCTTTAAACTAATAAGCTGCTAATTTGATTGACTGGGATTTTTTTTCAGTCTCATTCACCATGAAAAGCTGAGTCATGTATCAGCTTGGATCACTTTATGTTCAGGTTATTCAGATTACCTTTTAAAGTAAAGCCAAAGCAATTGTAGCATTTCCAGTTTAAAGAAGGGTTTGTTTTTTTTAGTTTAGATACATTGCTAAAACCAATTTAATTTATAGCCACAAAACCAACTTCTAAAATGAAAAAATCATGCTCACATTCAGTTTTGTTTCTAATTAGTTAGTTAAACAAAGCAGGTTGGTTACCAGGCCCTCCTGCCTGTAAAATTATTTATGAAATCCCAGTCTGCATTTTACACAGTAATCGACTGCACGATCCAAAGCAGCTTTGCGAAGCAACGAGCTTGTTTTCACTGCATTGGCTTGCAAAAAAAAAGGTGATTAATTTATTTACAACAGGTCTCTCCCTGAGGTTGACAGGATTTTTACAATTGCAGAGATGTAAGTAGGAAGGAGATGTCAGGGATGGTTGGGAGCAGCATTTGGTTCTCGTTGATTCAGTAGAAGGCAATAAAGCTCATCAATTTCTTTGTTTGCTGGATGAGAAAGGCTTTGGCAGAATATGAAGATGTCTTGCTAGACTACAAGGTTCAACTATTTTGAAAAATTAGCATCTGTGTGGTCATTGTGATCCTAATAACAGTGCAAATATAGAAGGGTTGTAAATGAATTCCTGTTTTATCAATGGAATAAACCAACTTCAAATGTGTTGTAGTATATGTGTAAAACAGCAGGTAAGAAGGGGGTTTGCGCTACTAAAAAAGTATATTTGAGAAACAGCTCTTCAGAGATTTCCCAAGAACTTTATGCTTGTTGACCCTTTTTTTTTTTTTTTTGCCAGAAAAAACAGTGGAAGGGCCAAGTCAAGAAGAAATAACAAACTGCCAGTGAAGTTTTGCTTTGCAAGATTGCTTCCTCTGATCTTATCGCTAGAGGATGGTAACTCACCTTCTTGATTTCTGCTTAAGCATGCCAGCAATTTTCTGTACTAAGTGGTCAGAAGCAAACATAGCAAAGGGAGATATGAATTAATTACCTCTATCTAACACAAAGTCAGACTGTTGGTAGTGTAAATGAACAAATACAAAGCCAAAAACTTCAAATGCTATTTTTCAAACAGCCAGCATTCGTTCTTTTTGACAAATCTGCCTAGGAATATAGTCCCCTTTACCAAAGACTTTACCTTTATATAGTATCTGATAAGTATTCTCCGCAGATCGAACACTTGCAGCATTGTTGCAGCGTTGTTATCGATGATGCTATATCCTTCCAGGATGTATTGGGTTCGCGTTATTTCCCATGTCAGCCATCGGAGGTTAAAGGCTGCGTTACATGACAACAAGTGAGGCAGGTGCCCAGGCTTACAACAGCAGCAGCCTTCATTGTCTTCATCTCCTTCTGTTATAGCTTCCACTTCTCTCTGCTGGCAATATGTCCCTTGGCAGTGAGAAAAAGAGAGTATGCTGCCAGTTATTGGAGGAGGAGGAAACAAAGGACTTCTTCCAAGCTGAAAAAGTATGATTGAAGGCTCTACGCACTTAGCAAAAATCTAATAGAAAGAGCTACGTCAACAAATCAGATGTGCCAACTGATCAATGCGCAGTAGCAAATAAAGAGCTGTCTGTTATTTATTTACTATCACCTATAAAAGTCAAAAGGGCCCAACGTAACGTTCTAGGCATTTGGTTCTGAGCTGATCTAAACTACAGACGACAGCTTCTGCCTTAATAAAAACTCACCAGGAAGCAACACTAAAGAGTCTCGCTCCGTCAGGCACATTAAGCAAATTGATCCAAGTCTCAGTCTGTTTCTTCAAATAACACAGAGGATGCAAACAAAGATTTTACGTTGTGTCAGAGCACTTATAAAATTTGGGGTTTAGCAAACTGTTTTGGAAAACAGGTTCCAAAAATAACATCCAATGGATGGTTCACTCTCCCACCAAAGCAAAAGCTACTCCGGATCAAACATCTCTAATGAATAGCACTGGTGGCAGTACATCATGAGGATAGAACAGCTTTCTAATTAGCCTATTACACAGGCTTTAGATCAAAATAGAGTAAATCTTTCTGAAAGAGAGATGTTAACTCCAAAAGAAGTCATGAGACAGATGCAGAAACAATCATGTATTTGCTCTGCGGACTCTGCATTTCTGGCCTGTGCTGTGCATGCTATAATGTCAAGCTGAGCCCTTTGGGATTTGGAATCTATGAAAATGTGGTTTCTACACCATGTAGGGCACGACAAATCAAAACCAAGGTGGACACTCATGCACTCCCCTCACCGTTCTCAAAATATATGAGTTTTATGTTCTTGATGCATGGATCTTTTTAAAATTTCCTCTCTGTGGGCTGTTGCTGAACTTACTCTCCACTGAATTTGTACATAAACCATCTTTCAAGGCCATCTTCTATGATGCAAGTTCCACATATGTCTCACATGGGCCTTCTGCCAATGGTTCAGTATCACCCCAGGAGAGAGCTGGCTCTGTCAGCTTCCAAATGGTCTCGATAGGAGAGGAAGGTGCTAGACACCGCGCTGCAGTTCAACAGCTACGAACCCCCCCTGCCAGGACCAACAGACCTGTTCTGTTGTGTCACTGTAAATGGGAGAAGTTAGCTATGTTCGTCATCTGAACGTTGGACTGGGAAAGAATATAGTGTCAGCTCCAATCCCCCCCAGTTTCCAGCACCCCAAAGGAGAGCCTGGAGCAAGGCAGCATCCACAGCCTTTCTGTGAAGTGTCATGACAGTCTCTGTGACCTCAACTGACTTATCCTGGTCCCATCAAAACTGTCTGGTCAACAACCTGAGGACCTTTAGTTTGTGCCTATAGATGTGGCACCCAGAATATTCCTCTCTCCACATCAAGAAAACCTTTCAAAATATAACAAAATATGTTAAAGTACTGGTTATCACCTCTTTCTTGTCTGTACACGTCCTAAAATGTATCCAGCAAGCAAAAACATACAAGAAAAAAGATTAATAGAAAGATCTGAAGGAAATGTGAGGAAAAAATTGGGATTGTAGCCCTAAGAGATGGATGGGGGGGGCGGGGGGGGGAAGATTCAGTATATTCCAGTGTTCTCTGTTCAGTTTTCTGTAAGTGAAAATTTACACTGTGTTCACACACTAATATGTATTCCTCCTTGGACTCAGGGATATACAATATGACAAATTATTAAATGTCTTTAAGTAAGTAATCTAAATATAAATATCTTTCCTTTCCAGACCACCACAAAGTACAAAACATGAGCTATCAAGCTGACATTTCCAGTTGGACTGGACATGAACTGGACTGCTTCTGCTTCATATTTCACAGATTTCTACATGAATTAACACTTATTGCTCATGAGCAAAAAAAGCAGCAACTGCTCTGGGTCATTGGATGCTTTTCTGATGTCAAGTCAAAAGACATCGTACTCAAACTGAA